AACAAGATATGTCACAAGTTATGGGACTAAAAGCGAAAAAAGTACCGTTGACTTGACTGACATTGCTTTAAATAGAACTTTGGCAAGCAGAATTTGGGGTATAGGTGTACGCGGTATCAGTCACAGAGAATGCGGGTCAATTGAAGCAGCTGATACTTTATTAGGTCATCCACTCCATGCAACTGATCCTAATACTGTTTTTAGATGGGTCGATGTCAATATGTATAGAAAAAGAAAACTGAAACCATATACTGAAGTTAAACAGTTACCTGAACAGTCGACAGACATTTTTTGTGATTCTTTCGTAGATACTTATTATCCTAATCGTCCTAAAGAACTTGATTCTTTATGTCTGTTTGATTTTGCAAAATGGTATGACATCTGGAAAAAAAAAACCAATTCGAAAAGCAGAATTTTATAAAATGAGCGAAGATTTATACTGTAAGAAAAGACTAAAACCATACTTAATCAATCATCCTACATATAATGCGGAAACACAGCATGATCAGTATTATTTCTCATTACTTATGTTATTTAAGCCATGGAGAAGTACTGATGAATTGAAAGGAAATTCAGATACCTATAAAAATGCTTTTATTGCTGTCCAAGACGAATTAATTAATGCTCACGAATATCATGACAAATTTAAAAAAATTCAAGATGCTATTGATAATGCCAACAAATTGGTTCAAGAAGAGTTAGAACGCACGTCAACTAATACAGACAACCTCGAAGATAATTGCGATCCTCTAGAAGCTGCGGAAGTTATTAAAGACATTCAAGATATGATGGATAAAAACGTAGAAAGTGAAATCAATATTGATGAATCAATTTCTAAGTTTAACGAAGATCAATTGAGAATATTTAACAAAATTACAACTACCATAGTATCACGTGACAAAATAGTAAGAATGTTTGTCAGTGGATTTGGAGGAACAGGTAAAAGTTTTCTTATTGAAAATTTAGTCGCATGGAATAAAACGAAAAGACAAAAAAATACTGCTGTGACAGCACCGACGGGAATTGCAGCATTTAATATTCACGGATTAACTGTACACAGATTGTTGCAATTACCTGTAGAACGTGGTCGTACACCAGAATATAAAGAATTATCTAATAATGCAATAAAGCAAATAAGACAGAGTTTAAAAGATGTTGATCTTATTATCATTGATGAGATTTCGATGATATCAAATATTGTACTTATGTATATACATTTGCGCCTGACAGAAATATTTTGTTCGGAAGGTGACGATGGTTGGTTTGGTGGAATACACATAATAGTATTTGGCGATCTACTTCAGTTACCACCTGTACGAGAAAACTTTGCTTTTGTACAAATGACCAAGGCGCAAATTGACAAATACATAAAAGGAATGTTAACATATAATTTGTGGACATTATTTGAATACGAAGAGTTAACAATTAACATGAGACAAAAAAATGATAAACTTTATTCTGAAATGTTAGGAAGAATACGATTAGGGTTTGTCACAAATTCAGACATTCAAGCGCTGCAACAGAGAAAGATACATTTTTCAACCGATCGTCCATCGACTTCGCTTCACGAACTGTGCGAATATTTGAATACTATTCCTGAAGATAAAGTTTGTCTTATGCCCACTATAGAAATGTGCACAATTCTTAATGAAACTATGTTAAATAAACTTACATCTGAGACTATAACATTAGTCGCAAACGATAGCTACAAATGCCCAAAAAGATTGGAAAAGAAAATCGTGAAAATAATAAATGAAGACGATGATGATACTTGTGGTATTCCCCGTGTGATTATGATAAAAATTGGCTGTAAAGTAATGATACGCAGAAACATCGATGTTTCTCTTGGATTAGTAAACGGTACAATAGGTACAGTCACTGCAGTCAATAACGGTAAAACAGGCATTGAATCTGTTGTTATACGATTGCAGTCTCAAAAAGAATACACTATCACAAGATTAGAATATAAATTTTTAATTATGGATCAAATTTATATAACAAGACAACAATTTCCATTTTGCCTTAGTTATGCAATTACAATTCATAAAAGCCAAGGCCTCAGTTTGACTAATGCTGTTGTTGAAGCTGGCAATACCATATTTAGTTGTGGACAGACGTATGTTGCATTATCGAGAATTACCAATCTGGAAGGTTTACATTTAATCAATTTTGATCCTACTACTATTAAAGCCGATGAAAGAGCTATAAGAGAATATAATAGACTAAGAACGCAATATCGCCAAGATCTTACAATTTTCGACATTAATTTGCAGTCAGAAAATGAATTACCAAAAATTGTTGATAATAAATGGTCAATTTCATACAAGCTACTCGAAGTTCAAGCGAATCAGATTAATAACGTTCTTGAAAATTATTTAAGTGATTTTATAAGAATTTTACCTAATAATGATAACACTTCCTGTTATATTAATGCTTTTCTACAAAGCTTATTTCACTGTCAATTAATAAGAAAGAATTTATTAAAGAGTAAACAGCAAGATCCTGTGTTACAAGTATTTAATCAATATATTACCAAAAGTGAAGTTGAAACACTTATTTTGATTAATTCTCTTGACATTCAATATTCATCATCAAATCAATACGATTTAACGGATTTTCTAAATGTTATTTGTAAAACATATAGTATAATTAAAAATACTACTAAACATACACTCGAAGTTAGAACTAGGTGTCCAGGCTGTGACTTTAGACCAGATCCATGCATAAAGGATAATCACATATTAAGTATAAATTTGAATGATGAAAATATCGGAGTTTATACATTACAACAACTTGTAGATGAAAATATTAATGTATAGCAAGAAACTCAAGAAAAATGTGATGGGGAATGTAAATGTTATAAACAAACTAAAATTTCTGTGCAAAGTGAACCAGAGAAAATTTTAATTATTCGGTTGAATGTATTCGCAAATAATAATAAATTAACTGGTCTTAGAATAAATGAAGTACCGAAGGCAAAAATTATGATAGGCGATAGGTGTTATCAAATCACAAGTGCTATATTTCATGTTGGAAACAATCTTCATAACGGACAGTATTTTAACGTACTCCGCGAAGGTAATAACTGGTTCCACATATGCGCTTCTAATTTTAGAAAAAAACCATGGCCCAAAGGCTCAAAAGATGCCTATATATTTTTCCTACAACAATGTAAAGCTCCTAACAAAAGGAATTGAATACAAAATTGATAGGTACAATTTTCCGTCATTTTATATTACATAAAATGATTAACAAGTGCCTTAAAAAAGTTGTGAAATCTCTCCCCACCCCCGCCAAAAACACTTTTTAAAAAAAGGAAAATTCGGTAAGTATGCCTTATAGTTAGTTGGATTTCCGTAAAAAAAATGGTCACCATCGGATTCCGCGTTGAAAGTTACTAAAGGAATGACCTTGACCTTTTTCAGAACTGAAGTACTTCAGAAAATATTCAGGCGTCCCGGGACTTAATTGACACCCTGTATATATAGATAGTAAAATAAAATAAAAAGCTTATGCATGCTTATCGGTAGACTGTAATTTGATTTCATAACTTTCATAAATTTAATAACATTTGTTCTAATACATTTCGTGAGAAAAATAGACAGTAAAATATTAAAAAATAAATTGTAGTTTCATACAGAAATAATGAAGGAAAGACTTCTGCTTTTAATGACGACTTCAAATAAGACTATCATGTCAATTGTTGATTATCGTTTTCCTTTATTTAGCAGTAATGAATAAAATAAAAAAAAGTAATCAACTTGCATGCATGCCTATATAGAGTAAGTTGTGATTTCACGACTTTCATAGCATTGATAACATTTAATCGCAAAAATCTTGTATCCATTTTAAACATTTATAAATAAATAAAAAAAAATGTCAGAAGTAGTAGAAAAAATCAATAAATGTTTTTTTGTAAGGAGACTGAATATTATTTTAAGGAGATATCAATGTTTTGTTACGGAATTTTACTTTTTATAAAAAATTTTTTTTGGATGAAGTGGGGGTGAGAAGTTTCACACCCTTTTTAATGAACTTGATAAAAACCATTTTTTTTACGGAAATCCAACTAACTATAAGGCATACTTACCGAATTTTCCTTTTTTTAAAAAGTGTTTTTGGTTTGAAAATACAAGGACAAATTTGTCATAGTACCCCAATTTCTATTTTACCGAAAAAAACATAATGAACCAGTTTGTGGTCAGTTTTATATTTATGATAATAGTACTGCAATAGAAAAACGATTGAAAAAATATCCACATTTGATAGAAAAACATGTTGAAATTTTGACAAAAATATTAAATAAAAATCCATATGCTATAAACTATAAATATCTATATCAAATAAGTAATGTTAAAAAACTTCCAAATTATAAATTATATTTTATAAGGAAAAATGATAAACAAAAACATCGATATAATAAACCGTTAACGTCTGAATGTGCGGCAATAATTGTTTCAAAAACAGACAATAATTTAGATTATGATCTATGTGTTTATCCAATTAATGCAGATAATATGCCACAACATACATACATGAATAAGTTATCACATCATGTTGATCCTATGGTTTTTCCAATCTTGTTTCCTCTAGGTGATTTAGGATGGAGCATCGGTTATCATAAAAAATTTGGAAAAATTGCGAAAATAGCGAAATCTGAAAATATAAATGACATAAGAAAAGGAAAAAACAGTGAATTAACAATGCTTCAATATTACCTGTACAGGTTAGCTTATCGACCCTATGAAAAAAACTTTAATCCACTATTATTTTGTGGAAGATTAACTCAGCAGTTTTTTTTACATGCTGCAGTTATGGTAGAAACAAATCGTATGAATTGGCTTAGAAATAATCAAAGTAAATTGCGTATAGAGACTTATCAAGGGATTGTAGATCAAGTCTTACATAGTGCAGCAAATGATTCAATTAATTTTGTAATTAAAGAAAAATTAGGAAATATTTTTATATTACCATCAACATATATTGGTAGTCCTCGGTATATGCAACAGCATTATCAAGATGCTATGGCTATAATGAGACATGTTGGTAGACCGGATTTATTCATAACAATGACATGTAATCCAAAATGGATAGAATTACAAACAGTTTTAGAAAATTTTCCGCCTGGTACTACACCAAATGATATTCCAATTATAACAGTACGATTATTTTATGCCAAATTTTTGTCATTATTAGATAATATCGAAAATAAAAATTTATTTGGAAGGGTAAAGGCATGGGTTTATACTATAGAATTTCAAAAAAGAGGATTGCCTCATGCTCATCTTTTAGTAACTTTACATCCGCATGATAAATTAAAAACACCTGAACAGATAGATAAACATATATCTGCTGAAATATCTAAAGATGAAAATTTGAGAAAATTAGTTTTAGATCATCAATTACATGGCCCACATACTGAAACATCGCCTTGTATTCAGAAAGGAAAAGTAAAATGTACTAAAAATTATCCTAAAAATTTTCAAGAAGTAACGACGTTACAAAATAACGGATATCCATTATATAAACGATGTAATAACGTAACTGATAATAATGTATATCGAACACAATATAGTGATAAAATTATAGAGACTGATAATTCTATGGTTGTGCCATATAATGCTTTCTTATTAAGAAAATATAGATGTCATATCAACGTTGAATATTGTGCATCTATTGAAAGTGTTAAATATATTTATGATTATATACACAAAGGAGGAGATAGAGCACGATGTAAGGTGCAAAAACAAAATTATCAAAATGAACCAAAATGTAATGATCAATTAGGAAATGATGAAGACGAAAAAATAATTTATAATGAAATTGATACATTTATTGACGGAAGATACTTAAGCGCGATGGAATCAGCTTGGATGTTATGTGGGTTGCCTTTATGTGATAGGAGTCATAGTGTTGAACGATTAGCTGTTCATACAGAAAATCAGCAAAAAATAGTTTTTGAAGAAACTAAAGAAATTGAAGCCTTGTCAAAATTCGAGACTACTTTAACAGCATGGTTTGAATTAAATAAGAATAATGATTTTGCACGTAAAATTGAATATGTTAATATTGTAAAATATTTTAACTTTAAAGATAAAAAATTGGTAAAACGAGTTCGTAAACAACGATATCCAACGATTGGCAGAATAGGGATCGTACATCCTAAAGATATTGAAAGATATCATTTGAAACTAATATTAAATAGAAGTAAAGGGGCAACTTCTTTCAAGGATTTACGAACTTACAAGAAAAAAATTTATAAAACTTATAGAGAAGTTGCTATTGCAATGGAGTTAGTAGATAACGATAAAATGATTTATAATACATTTGATGAAGCATGTACAATTATGATGCCATATCAATTGAGGAATTATTTTGTAAATCTTTTATTAACTGAAAATTTCGAAGCCAATTTGATTTGGGAAAAATATAAAAATTATTTTAGTGAAGATTTTCACGACAACAAAGAAAACCGAGCTTTATTTGACATTGAAAAATTACTATCGAAAGAAGGTTTTTCTTGTGAAAGTTTAGGTTTGCCAAAACCATAAAATGTATGTACTGTTGAACAGGAGAAGGATCAATGTTTAAGATCAGAAAGTAAGAAATTATTTGAAAAAATATTTAAAGATCTCAATAAAGATCAAAAAAAAATCTATCACGAAATTTTTACGAGTAAAAATAAATTATTTTTCATTGATGGACCTGGGGGATCTGGTAAAACTCATTTATATAAAACAATAATATATAAGTATTTATCAATGGGACGGAAAACGTTATCAATGGCTTGGACCGGAATAGCTTCTGTATTATTGCCTAAAGGTATGACGAGTCATAGAACGTTTCGATTACCTATTTTAACTGACATAAAATCAGTATTTTTGAAATATGATAGTGATAAAAGAAAATTACGAGAAGCTGAATTAATAATTTGGGATGAAGCTTCTATGATACCAAAAAATGCTTTAGAAATCGTTAATAAGACTTTGTGTGATATATGTGATAATGAAGAACCATTTGGAGGAAAATTAGTTTTGTTAGGCGGAGATTTCAGACAAATTTTACCAGTTATGAAATATTCATTCAAAAACACCATAATAATTAATACTATAAAACATTCTTCTTTATGGCCTTTGTTTACCATATTAAAATTACACAAAAATATGCGTTGCAGTAATGAAAAATTTGCTAAAGTTTCTATTGGATATTGGGGAAGGAAAAATTGAAAATTTCATAATACCTAAAGAAATGAAAACTGATAATGTTTGTTCAAAAATATATAGAAATTCTAATATTTCTCATTGGTATGACCGAGTGATTTTAGCGGCTCATAATGATGATATTAATAAGTTGAATACTAAAATTTTAAAATATTTGAATGGTAAAATTGAAAGTTATTATAGTATTGATTATGCTACACATAAAGGGGTTGATCAAACAGATCATAATATATATCTCAAATATCCTATAGAAACATTAAATAAAGTAAGAGAAGGTCTCCCACCACATAAATTAGATTTGAAAATAAATGCAACAGTAATGTTGATTAGAAATTTAAATATACATGAAGGATTATGTAATGGGACTAGATTAAAAATTATACAGTTATATAAGTATAATATTGAAGTTCAAATATTAACAGGTGAAAATATGGGGAAGAAAGTTTTTGTACCAAAAATAACATTGAACACTGGAGAAAATTCTACGTTACCATTTATTTTATACCGTAAACAGTTCCCTATCGTTTTAGCATTTTGTATGACAATTAATAAGGCACAAGGACAAAGTTTTGACTCAGTAGGATTGTATATTGATAAACCATTGTTTTCACGTGGTCAATTATATGTTGCATTAAGTAGATGTCGAAACCGTGAAAAAATTCATATTCAAAATAATTCAAATGATGATAACTCTATTCAAAACGTTGTATGGGAAGAAGTATTTTTGGATATTTGAAATTATCAAATGATGAAATGTTATTATAATTAATTAATTAATTCACTTGATTAATTAATTATATAATTTAATATAATTAATTAATATAATTAATTAGTTAATCTACTTAAGTACTGTATCGATACTATATGAAAAAGAAAATATGTCAACATATTGAGACTATATGACAAATAAAAAAATTATATTATCATATTACGTATACGCGATCAGCAAATATAGTGAGTTATCGACTTAAAAAAAGGTTTTATAAATCGAGGTATTCAATATAGAACAGTTTATATATTGAAAAATATTTTCAGTGGATTAGGCCTACGGGGGATACCACTATAAAAAAAACGCGCCATGATATTTACCTCCATGGTGGTGTGGAAATAATATCATTCATTGAATATAATATTATCAGTTCCTATTTTTTAAATTGCAACATTTAACTCAATCTTACTCAGCTCTTTTTTGGGGGGTTGACGAGCAGAGCGAGTAGGGGGGCGAAGCCCCACTAGTATATATATATACGTATACCGGGTGTCCACAACCACCCGTCCACCCCTTTTATTTCTTTAGCAACACGTTTTTAGGAAATATGATATATACGAAAGTTTTAGCAAATCAATCAAGGATTTTAGCGGTGTCCTTTAGTTTGACCTTGAAGTTGATTTTCAAGGTCATTTCAAGGTCAAATTTCGTTTTTTAAATAGGAACCCCTATTTTTTATACTGGATTCTGAAAGAACACGAAATTTTGAGTAAAAAGTGTTTTTAGTATTTTTTTTATTAGACGCATATTTAGCGAGAAAAAAATTCAGTGATACCGGTGTCCATACCATCCATCTAATTCTTCTAAAATCTAGGTAGAATACCTATTCAGCGAATAGTAAAATTCGAAGTCTTGTGCTAGTAAGTGCATTGTGCCTATTGATTGGTGATGCTTTTAACATTCACTTCCGGCCGAAAGTAGCCTACTGGGACAGGAAGTCAGTATTTTTTAAATGGTGTAGTACTTTTTTATCGTGGATTTTGATTTTACATCGATTCCACATAAAAAAATATCTAGGTATGAAACTTTTGTTTAAAAATCTTTATTGTAAAAATGTACCACCTAGTAGTAATTATAAATAAAAGAAAATGAAAATTTTCTTTTTAAATTCGAGTAGTCAAAATGCAATGTTCGGTACGAATACTATGCAAAATTAAGTTTACTTTGTCAGAGGTGATTTCGTAATTAAACCCGACGTTGGAAATTATCTATCATTAAAGAAATAAATTATAAATTCATCATTTTCAGAGGTAAGTTTTAACTCGGAAAGAATTTGAACCATTTTATTGCGTTTCTCTTACTAAATGACAAATTAGATTTATTTTCTTTTCAAATAGGTACCTATGGTGTATTCCAAAGAAGAAGCGCACGACATGTTGCAAGTTTTATTTGAAGCTGGGTCATTCCTTGCTGCTGAAAGGTTGTGGCAAGAGCGTTATCCCAACAGATTTCCTCATTCTCGTAAAGTATTTTCGCGTCTATCTAGAAGAATCAAGAATGAAGGACTTGTCCAACCTCATCACAATAAGGGAAGGAAAATTCGCCGACGAATTAGAGATGAACGGTCTGTGGATATCGTCGCATCAGCCAAATGATTGAGCCAAATGATTCTGTAAGGCGCCGGGAACGTGATTCTGGTATAAGCAAATCCACTATCAGTGTTATTCTTCGGAGCAATAAATTTCATCCCTACAAAATGGAATTACATCAAGATCTGAATAATGTTGATATTGAACAACGTCTTGCATTCTGCAACTGGGCGAGTGGCCAAAGAGAAAATTTTCATCGAATCGTACTCTTTTCGGATGAATGTACTTTCAAAAGTGATGGTGAAGTTAATACGCAGAATTTTCGTTATTGGGCAGCGCAAAATCCGCACTGGCTGAGAATGGAAGACCACCAACGGGTTTGGAAAGTTAATGTATGGTGCGGCATTATCGATAACCAAATCATAGGCCCAATTTTTTTCGAAGGAAACCTTAATAGCTTTAGATATCTCCATCTTGTAGAAAGAGAATTAGCCCCTTTATTAGAAAATGTTAATCTTGAGATACGTCGTGACATGTGGTTCCAGCAAGATGCATGTCCTTCGCACACTGCGCTTATCATTCGAAGAGCTTTGAATCGTTTATTTCCGAATAAGTGGATTGGAAAGTACGGTCCTGTCAATTATCCACCTCGATCCCCGGACCTTTCAGTATTAGATTATTATTTATGGGGAAGAGTAAAAGATTTAGTTTACCGTGAGCGTCCAACTACGCGGGCTAACATGATTCGCAGAATCACAGAAGCAATCCGCTCGCTTGAAGTAGCAGAAATTAGAAGAGCTGTTGATAATTTTGAAGCTAGAGTGCAGGCATGCATTTTGCAAGGTGGAGCGCATTTCGAACACTAAAATAAATAACCCAATAAAAAAAAAGTTTATTTAGGGAAACAAGAATGGACATTATTTATGTTTTCATAAAAAAGCTAGTTTATTATGTTTATTCAGATTACAGTTTATTTATTTGATTTGTTATAAAAATAAAAATTTTTTATAAAATAAATTATAAAAATAAAATAAAAATAAAAATAAACCAATGACAAGATTCTTTCTGAATTTTTTTCTCGCTAAATATGCGTCTAATAAAAAAAATACTGGAAACACTTTTTACTCAAAATTTCGTGTTCTTTCAGAATCCAGTATAAAAAATAGGGGTTCCTATTTAAAAAACGAAATTTGACCTTGAAATGACCTTGAAAATCAACTTCAAGGTCAAACTAAAGGACACCGCTAAAATCCTTGATTGATTTGCTAAAACTTTCGTATATATCATATTTCCTAAAAACGTGTTGCTAAAGAAATAAAAGGGGTGGACGGGTGGTTGTGGACACCCGGTATATGTATATATATACATATATTTTTTCATTTTACTTTAATAAAAATACATGTGGTTCATATAGAAATTGTGATACAAACTATTCGATATGTGCATCGCAATGAACTTACCTATACCATTATAACACTTTCAAATTTCAAAGATTCTGTATTGCAGATCCGTCATGGGGCGCTTCGTGTAAAAACTCAGAACCAACGGTATGAATCGTCTGTGTATGCTCACTATATATTATGTGGTAGGTGTTATACGATTTATTTTGTGTCTGCCTTTAGATTGAGAAAATAAACACTTTTGATCTGTGGTAATGTACCATTGAAGAAAAATTGTTATCAAAATCTGTATTTGAAGTTTTATTATTTCTTTAGAATATTTATGTAAATACCTGCTGTTGTATATTTTATAGATATTAGTAATTATCCTAAAACGTTGAAGAATATTAATAAATAGAAAGAATAGATTTGTCGTTATAGAACAGAATGGTAAGTTTTTTTCTTCTCCTTGTTTTTAATTAAAAATACACCTTGTTATTTCTTTAAACTTATTTCTTTTAACTTCCTTTAACATAAATTGCTCATAACTATTTTATTAAAAAATTTTATTTAACTAAATGTTGGAAAGCAATAACATTGATACGACTATCACCGCATAAGTACGAAGTTTGTGTATATATAAGAATGGAAAAA